TTTGTTTGTTTGTTTGTTTGCCAAGGGTTACTTTAGCTATTAGGGAATTTTTGTGATTACAATCCAATTGAAAGATTGTTGTTGTTTTTCTATTTGTGTGGAAATTTTCATCAGAATTCTCACTGGAATTGCATTAAATCTATAGCTTGCTTTCGATAGGATGGCCATTTTTACAACACTGAATCTTCCAATCCATGAACAATGATGGTCTTTCTATGTTCTAGCTTTTTCCTACATTTCATTCTTAATGTCTTAAAGTTTCCATTAAAGAGGTCTCTCATTTCATTGGTTAAGTTTATTCCAAGGTATTATTTTTAAATACTGAATTGTATACTTTAATGGGTGAATTATATATCCCTTGCCTGTAGCTCTTAAAGTTAGAAGTGGGTTCCAATTACTGAAGGGATTCATTAAAAAATAGCTTTCTTAAGTATTTCAAGGTAATATTTCCTTTGAAAGGGAAAAAACAGAGAAAAAGTGAGCATGAAAGGATCAGTATTGGAGAATGAGGAATGACCTAACACAGGTAAAGGACAGTAGAATCATCAAAATGGATGTGACGCTAATTCTACTTTCAACTCTACTGGCGATTGTTCATTTTCTGGTGGTGGATAATTGCATGAAAACATATTTGATAGAGAAAGTGTAAAATCCAGTTTGAAACTCCACAGCTTCAGAATGGCTATCATAACTGCAAGGGCACATGTTGAAATGTATAGACTTTGGGCCTGCTTAATTTCACTATGTGATTTTTTTTTATTTGAAAGTTCTTTCATTTTTTGAGAATATGCTGTGTATGGGATTACTTTTCTAATTTGCTTCTGAATATATTGTTATTATATGAATGCTACTGACTTTTAAGTGTGAGTTTTATATTCTGTTCCTTTGCAATTCTAAGAGTTTTATCAAGTTTATCAGATCTAAGCATTTTCTGGTAGAGTCCTCAGAGTCTTTTATACAGAATCATGTCATCTGCAGATAATGATTCCCTTTCATGCACAAAAATCACCTCCAAATGGATCAAAGAGTTCAACGTAAAACCCAAAACTCTGAGACTGCTGGATGAAAAAGGAAAGGAACATAGTACAGGACACAGGCGTAGGGAAGGTTTTCCAAAGACAACTGTTGTTGCTCCAAACCCTGTCCACATAGACAGCCCTGGTTCAACTAAGCGGCTCCCAAAACAGAGCACTAAGACATGAATGTGGCAGAGGAACTTGTGGGAAGGAGGGAAGACAGAGTGAGAGGGAGACAGGAGAGTGTTGGGGAGGATCAGTCAGAGTGCATTATATAAATCTATGAAATCGACAAAACCCATGTTAATGGGAGTTTTTTTAAGAAGATATAAAATACAGAATTTTGGTATATTCTGTGCTTCAAAGTTTATGTGAAAGTGTGAAATGAGGCCCCTGTCTAATTTAGTTCACAGCATACTTCTTTCAGTGAAAATAAAAATAGTGACATGATTGACGATTTAAAATATATCCAACACAATGATTTCAGCAAAGTGTTTATTGTTTCGAGAAGTTCAAGGCCAGAGGACAGTTGCTACTCTCCAAGGTCAAGTAAGGCAAGGAACGTGGGTGGACACATGAGATCAAGAGACTAACAAGACAAAATCTTGTGTCTGAAAGGCGAGATCAGTTAAGGACAAGGGGACAAGTTGAAGGAACAAGGAACAAGAAAAGAGTAGTTGGCTGATATACTAAAGAATTAAAACAACAGAAGTAAACAAGAATGTCAGGAACTGTGTGAGCTCTGATTATCCGCAGTGTGCTTTGCTGTGATGACTAATGGTGCTGTCCTTTCCGTCAATCCTCAGAACAAGTTGCCAAGAACAAAGCTGACTTCTCCAGAAAGGACACCTGAGCCCTCCCTCACCAGTACTCACAGCTGCTTGTCCAAGGCTGAGTCTTCAACCTCGTGTCAAGTAAAGGCCTCAGGAAGTAAGTGGACTCTGCATCACAGACCAGGATGTAGAGAGGCTCTACTCCGTGTCCCAGACTTATGTCCCTGCCCTGGCACCTGCTGGGCTGGAGGCCACTTAAGCAGTTTCCATGTCTAAACAATTCCCCACCCCACAGTGGAGGGACTGTGACTTGGGTTTTTACCTGCTTACTGCTTACTAGATGGAGGCCATTCTCTGGAGAGTGAGTAATGGTTACTGGATGAACAAAAAAAATCAAAACAAAACAAAACAAAACAAAAAAAACCCAACAACAATAACAAAAAAATGTTTTGTTGGTGAAGCTGTTTAAGGAGGCAATGAGGGGACCCCACAGGACACTTGTGCTTCTGGTCTGAAATTTTCTATCTCCAGAAGCTACTGGCATCAGCTTTCCAAATGGTGTGGAGCAGGTTTTATGTCTCAGCTGCTCTAAAACCATGTTGCAAAGACGATTCAGGCACAGATTCTGTGCAAGGAGAGTGGAGTCTTTGGAAGAAAAGGTGTGGGATAGCAGTGATGGCTGTCCTGCTCCCAGACTCCTGCAAGACCTCAGATACTGACACATGAGCAGAGTTGGCCACACAAAATGCCACACAACACCCAACAGTAGGAGACATCTCGAGAGAACTGTTTCTTTTGTTTTGTGCATTTCCATAATAAAAGCATCCCAAAGGTCTCTAGAAGATAGACTGAGGGCTAGAATACAGTTCAGCGATAAATCAATAAATATATAAATAAACACACACCAGCACCTGATAAATCAATAAACCTGACAGGGATGGCAGGCAATACTCTTGTCATATCTCCAAGACTGTTGACCCTTGCAGTGACTAATGCAATTTCTTTTAAAGTAAATGAGTGGGGCCGGCGAGGTGACTCGGTGCATGAAGCATGTGTGGCCAAGTCCAGCCACGTGAGCTCAATACCTGAGGCACAGACCTTAGAAGGAAAGAACTGACACAGTTGTTCTCTGCCCTGCACTGATACATGGCAGCACACACAGATACTTATAATTTGTAGTTGAGGAAACTTGCTGTAGTGTTTCTAGCACTGATGCTTTTATGAGCTGGTTTGTAACTCGGAGCCATGTTCAGGGGATTTATAAGTTGTAACTGGTTTTTGATAGAGTTTTTTGGTTTTCTACATAAGAGATCATGTCATCTTCAGACACTGACAATATTCTGTCCACTTTCCGGTATGGCTGCCTATGACCTTTCTGTGTATGATTGCTGTGGGTAGGACTCCCACATTTTGAATAAACAGAGGAAGTGGGCATCCTTTGATACAGGATGTCCTTGGCTTATTATAAGTAGTCTTTTATATTGAAATACATTTTGCATGCATAATTCAGTTCATTTTTATAATAAAGGATTGTTAATCTTGAAAAATAATTACTGTCAGGCAGTGATGAGGCAGAGGCAGGAGGATCTCTGTGAGTTCAAGGCCAGCATATTCTACATAGTGAGTTCTCAGACAGCCAGAAATTTTATACAGAGAATCCCTGTCTGAAAAACCCAGAAAAAAAATATTAACCTTACTTCTGTTTTTATGTATGTGTGGACATGCATGTATCTCTGCTGGCATGTGAGAGTCAGAGGACAATCAATGGGAGGCAGCTCTCCCCTTTCACCATGTGGTTCACAGGGATGAATGCTCAGGTCAGTACCCTTGGTAGCAAGCATCTTTATCCACTGAACTATCTTGCCAACCCACAAAAGAGTTGTTGCTAAGTTTTATATGATGTCCTTCCTTCACTTATCAAGAGGATGAAGGGGTTTTTCTTCTTTTTCATTATGATGATGCAAAATAATGTGTATTGATCTGCATATGTTGAGTCATCCTTGCAACACTAATGACAGTAAATAATATGGGCTGTTGGATTTTGTTTGTTGGAATTTTGATGAGTGTTCTTACAAGTATGTTCATCGAGGATTCTAGAGTTTTGTGGGTTTGATGTATGTGTGTGCTTGAGTGCCTTTGTGTGATTTTGGATCACAGAAATGTTGACCTCATAGAATTTTTTAGTAATAATTCCCTACAATGCAGTTTTGAAATAAAATAAGAATATATAATCTTAGTTCTCTAAATGTTTGATAGAATTCAGTAGTAAAGCCATTTTGTTTGGCCTTTCTATTCTTGGAATGGAAATTTTTTCTATATACACAATTCAATCACAAATTGTTGTCTATTAAGGTTTTGAAAATTCTTTATGATTCCATTTGATAGAGTATATGTGCTCAGAAATGGCTCCTGTGTTCTGTCACATTTGTTGGAATGAAGTTGATCATAAGGACCCCTGCCAATCTTTTATTTTCTTTCTGTGGTATAATTGGTAATTTCTCTCTTTTCATTTCATATTTTCTTTCACATTTTTCCATTATTCTATACTAATCTAGATGTGCATTTCTCTAGTTCATAGTTATCAAGAACTGTCTTTGTATCATTGGAGTTTTCCATGCTTTACACTCTATATTTTTTTCTTTGTCTTATTCAGTGTTTCCTTCCTTAATTAACTTGGAATCTATTTTGTTTTTTGCTGCCAGTGCATTGAGTTTATTTCTTCCAGATCTTCCTGATCTTTTGATGTAGTAATATGCCAGGGTTAAGATGAGTGTTGGCAAGGTCCAAATGCAAAGCTCTCATCCCAGGGCCAGTATTTGGAGGCTCTGTGCCCTGGAGAATGTCGTCCTGTTGTCCAGAAGCCACTTGTCCCTGCTGAGAAGGAGAGAACTCAAGTGCAATAATCAAAAGCTGAAAAGTAAACTGAAACTTCACAAATTGCTTCCTGGGGGAATGTGAAAGGTCACCTGAAAGAACAATGATGTTCCCATGAGGCTGTTCTCCAGGGCTCCAGTCCAGCAGGATGAAGGGAGATAAGGGGATCAACCCTCAGTGATGCAAAAGGAGGGCCTTAACCAGGTCTTGTGAGCTGCCATGTGTTTCAGGGGCGGGGCCAGTAAACCTCACCATGTATAAATATCCCTGGTCCCCAGGGGCTCTGGTAAAGTGCATTTGCTCATCCTTTGCCAAGTCTGAAAACAAACCGGGCACCATGAGGCTGTCCCTGTGTGTTCTGTTGGTCATCCTGGCTGTTCATTGCTATGAAGGTGAGTGTCATTTATGATCAATCCTGCCACAGCTCCTGGTAAGTTTGCCTCTTTGAGCAGTTGATAAGTTTATGTGTGGTAAGTTAAGTCAAGAAGGATGATCTAAGATCTCTTCCAGCCTTTTTTCTAGCCCTCATAGAAGCCCAGATACATTCATCTAATCTTTTACTTAGAAGCTTGGTGGGGTGGAGGCCGTTTTGAGCAAAGTTCAGGAAGTGCTTTTCATCAGAGGGATTTTGTTGGTTGTGTTAATTTCAGTTTCTTGTCTTGGTATCTGAAAAGGTGACTTGACAGAGGTCCATTCCATAGTCATTGTTTCCCGAGTATGTGAGTGAAGAAGCAGGTTCCTGTAGCCTCATCACTTTTCTGGTGGTCCTACCAATAACAGGGATAGAAACAGTGCACTCATTTCCACTAAGATGTCCATTTCCTAAAATTAACTAACTTTGCAAACGATCCAATTGTGTGTGAACAGAACATTCCTACATACTCTGTACCTTTAAAATGAACCAAGTTCCGTGGGCAGTTACTCTCTTTTCTTTCTGCATCTCCCTCGGTCTGCCTAACTACCCCTCATGCGATACTCTACAGCATGTCCCTAAGCCCAATGGAACCCGTTTTAGGTCCACATCAGATGCTGTATGGGTACCTCCTAAGGACAGTATTGTTGCCCTTGGAAAAACTGGGTCTGGTCATACATCCTTCATGTCCAAGCTAGGTAAAGCTGAACCTTGAGGAACTTTGGTCTGAGGTCAGACAAGACCACTCTGGAGATGGGGAGGGTGTTGTTTTGTTTTATTTTGTTTTTTAAACAGTCTTGAAGGGAATGTAGAACCTTGATTAGGAAAGCAGATTTCTTCAGTTCTACCAAAACATTCATCCAGATCTTTAGAAACCATAGGTAGGTGTCAGCTTCCACATCACCCTCCCTAAACAAGACTGAGCATCAGTGTGGAAAGGCAACGCTTGCTGTAGTTTCCCAGGCATGCTCTGGTGTGCACAAAAACTGATCAACTCAATCAGGCTGTGGTGGCACAGGCCTATAATCCCAGCACTCAGGAGTCAGAAGCAGGCAGATCTCTGAATTTGGGGCCAGCCTGATCTGCAGATCAAGTTCCAAAACAGACAGAGCTACACAGAGAACCCTGTCTCAAAATAAAAAAATAAAACTCTTATAATGTTAGTTTTCACTTTGAACTGTACTTGATGCCATGCCTAATTTCATCAATTTCAAAACGTCACCTTTCTACACATAAGGAGTCTGCTTGGATTTTACTTTTTCCATCTCTTGTAAAATTCTAATTCTGTTATTCATGTCAAAGTTGGATGACGACACAAAACTTCATTTTTTCAAAATTCAAAGACTCATGAAAATGGTACAACGATGCAGTCAAACCTCCAGCTGTTAATGCTAGACAAAGGAATTTCAGCAAGCCGTAGAAGCTTTAGGAGTAGTGAGTGTGGATTAAAATACAGAAATGTAGAGAGTTAATAATAATCTTTCTTCAGTCCCTAACTGTGTGACCTTGAGGAGGTCACGCTGTCCTGCTACAGAAACAGGAGTGAGCTATAATAATGGTTATCCTGCCCAGTCTGCAGCCTTAAATCAGAGACACTCAGGTGAAATAAATTAATTAAAAATGAAAAGGAATTTTGACCAACTGTATTTTTTCTCCTTATACTTTCCAGCTAATGCTGCAACTGTCTGTAAACCCGTTCTTCGTGAAAGCACTTTGTTCCTAACGATGCCTGAGGAAGTCGTGAGGAAGGAACTTGAGAAATATAATGCACCTCCAGAGGCTGTGGAAGCAAAATTGGAAGTGAAGCGATGTGTAGACAACAATTTGGGCACTCTAGACAAAAAGGGCATATTAGAAGTATTGGTATGTTCATCATGCTTTACATACCCAGGAGGCCACAAATGGAGTTGACCTGACATTTCTGTGGGGAACACATAGAGGGGGGGAGGCACTGGAATTATAGGTCACCAGACGTAGGTTGGTTCAGGAATACACTGCTAACTTGAATTCAGTTATAAACTGTGTCTGCGACCTCCTTCTAGAGGTCCATCCTAGATGCAACACCCTTGTGGCACCCTAAGAAAGACAAAGGGGGCCCTACAAAGTGAGTATTCAGGGATCACCCTATCGTCAATCTACTGGGATCTTTGCTAAAGTTGACATCTACACAATGAAGAGATACCATCTCTCTCGAAGGCTGTGGGGATGTGGGTGGATGAAAATCACACAGACAGGAGGAAGGAAGCTGGAGACAACCTCCTTAAGAGCAAAATGCTGGTAGGGTGCATTTCTCTGCCACCTTTGCTGCCCTGCCAGGAGCCTGCGGACCTTCTGTTTCCAATACTTCTTACCCACTTTTGTCCTGGGTTTCCCCTGGTTATCCCATTGGAATGAAGGTAGAGTTCACAATTCTAAATCATCACAGGAAGTTATACCCGAGGAGCTGTGGCATACTCTGTAACCCTCCCAATCACAGAGCAGTAGGGACTTGAGCCACACTGTTGAGTCCATCCAGAGCATATTTGCCTGGATTGGGAAAGACTGTCCACTAATCGCATCATTTGATGTTATTTCCCTATAGCGATTCAGTGTCCCCCAAGCACACTGTGGGGCCCTCGTAGCAGTCCAAGCAGCACTAGTTTGCTAACATTTCTCCTCTGGAAGCTTCCTGACTCTGCTCACCTTTCTTCACTTGTTTCTGTTTATCTCCAGGGACAAGTCATTATACATTGTAACTTTAAGGAAATTTGAAATATGGCTCCTCCTGGTCTCCATGGCTTCAAACAGATAAACTGACTTTCCCTGCCCAATGTGGAGGTTTCAATGTCTTGCACTAATAAATTACTCTGCTTGCATGTTACCATCTGTCTGTTGTTATCCAAAGTCTTGGGTCTTGCATTAAATAGGTTTTGATAAAAAATTGGATTTTCAGTGTTGGTAATAAGTCACAGAGATAATCTCTATCAATATGATTATCAAGCCTGGGTATCAGGCATCAGGAACAGTGGTGTTTGGTCAAGCATCACCTTGCACTTCCCTATAAGTAAGTTTCTCATGCCTGTAGCCATAAATGAAAATTATCACCTATGATAACAAACACTGACCCTTTGTGTGGCCACTGTACTAAACTGTCTCATTGCTGACCATGTACAATATGACAGTCACTCCCTAAATACTCCAACTCAGCATCTTCCTCATTCAACCCACAGTACCACTTATGGCAAGCTCCATACTCCATGCTTGGTTGTCATAAGCTTCATTTAAGGAGATCCCCTGCGTCCTCCGTTCCTTAAAAAATGCAACACAGTTTATGCAAGCTTGTGTCCTAATCATATTAATTTACAATCTCCTTCCTTATGTCTCTCTATTTCCACAGTTTCTTCCCCAGTAAAGCAGTCATGGTTTTATACCCCATCAGGGCACAAAGAAAAGAGAGGTTTTAGTGATGTCTACTGTTCTAAACTTAGTCCACATCCCCTAGTCTATTGGGTGCTTGCCCTAAAGGACCAGATGAACACCCTTCAGAAAGTTCAGGTTACTAGACTCCCTACCTTTTATGGCTGACCAAGTAAACAAAGAAAAGCAAGAACTCTCCCAAGAGTGTGACACAATCACCAGCAACACACAAAAACAAAAAAACAAAAACTAACAACAACAAAACCAAAGTACTACATGTTCTCTATCACACGAGGAGCTAAAAGGAAAAAACGGTGATGTGGACACAAATGTGACTAGAGTTGGGAAGGCTAAGAGGAAGGATAGGGAAGACTGGATCTGATCAGCATGTCACCATCCTGAGCCACCAACTTGCTGGTAATCTATTGTTCTATCATCAAGTGGTCCTTTCTTTCAAAGATTAAAGTCCCATGCTGCCAGCAATCGATTACCGAAGCATCACACACTGTCAGCAAGCTAAAAGGAGGGACTCCAGGCTGCCTCTGTTAGGTCCTGGTTTCATGTCAACACTCCAGATGATCTCAGAATCCTTCTAATTCCATTATAATAATAAAAGCACACCCACCAGTGCTATGAACCAATGCAACCATGCCCAAATGAGTCCTTCCCAAGACTCACTATCCGGGAAGGGCATTTATGGTAGCCTTTCCACAGATGCTCAAATCGTTAGTTGGCAGCAGTCTTGTAGTTCTCTAGACCTTTCTTTGTGTTCAATTTTATCTTCAAACCAATATTAGCTCCCTCTTTTATGTTCTCTCTCTCTCTCTCTCTCTCTCTCTCTCTCTCTCTCTCTCTCTTCTCTCCTGTCTTCTATTCCTAGCCGGGCTCAATCTTCCTGGTCGCACATGGTTTCCTTTCCTCCCCCTTATTTTCTCCTACTTCTCTCTCCATTCGCTGCCCCCCTCCACTTCCCCTGTGCTCTAGGGGACTTGTCCCTTCCCCCTTCTGTGAGGGACTTTATATGAATCTCTTAGAATACACCTTGTATCCTAGTGGTGTGAATTATAGTCTGGTAATCCTTTGCTCTAAATCTAAAATCCATGTGAGTGAACACATACTATGTTCCTCTTTTTGTGACTGGGCCTTGGAGTAGCCTCTTCTTCAAGAATGCCTACCTATCAGGTCTGCAAATTTACCTCTGGGCACTGATTTTAATTATTCCTGGTCTGCTTGAAAATCTCCCTAGCCTACCAACAGAGGGACTGAATCGAGCAGTCCAATGCCCAGTGTTTAAGAAATAAAGGAAACTCACTCACCATTCATTGAGCACTTGAATGAAAAGAGGAAAGCTAAAAGGGCTCACATTCCCCAGCCTCCCTCTGGCTTCTGGATCCCATGAGGAAAGCCATCCTTCCTCAGAGGAAATGTGCTTACAAATATGTGCTGCTGAATAGGAAATACTGAGGGCAGGGCCCAGCAAGCTGCATGCTTCTCCTAGTAATTCTCATGCCAGGGCCTGAAATCACAGGCTTAGGCTCCAGCTTCTTCACATAACCCTCTCCCCCACACACCCTCTTTTCACTGTGAGGAGAAACCAGGGTCAGGGCTGAGATTCCTCCCAGAAAGACCTAATTACGGTTATAATAAATCATATGTTTTTTAAGACCAAAGTATCTCTAAAATAAGAGAGCTGAATATACTGTTACAAATGCTAGCCCAAATTGAAAATGTTGATCCTGAGACTAACTCCTTTAGCCATTGGCTTCTTGGTGAGAATGTTAGATCTGGACTAAGAACTATGACCACTAACAGCCCCAAATCAACAGTAACTGTAATAAGCAAATATTCTGTTTTTTGATCTCTGATTCATTTCTTTATAGTTAGCCCTGTTCAGGTCACCTCTTGAGCTAATTACTGTTGCCAAGCAAAGGAAGCACCTGGTTGGCTAGGCATGGTTTATGAGCCCAGATCTGTGGGTGTGGACTAAGGCCTAGAACCATTAGAATGAAGATGGAAACACTTTCTTGGTATTCTAGTTACTCTCCTGTTGCTAGGCCAGGGTAGCTGACAGAAACAACCCGAGGGGGGAGAGTTTCAATACATCACGATGGGGACAGTATAGTGGAACCCACGGTGATGGGCATGTATCACGCATGTCCCTTACATCATAGTAGACCCCAGCAAATATCCAGGCTAGACCCAGGGAGTGCTCTATAATCATCAAAGGCCTACTCCTAATTATGTTTCTGCCAGCTAGGCCCTATCTCCTAGAAAGCATGCCAACCCATGACCCTTGGACCATATGTGGCCAAGGACACCTATAAATGTGGCTGGACACAAAATCATAAACTTACTTAAAAGTTCTTGAGGGTTTTGCTGTTCATTTAAAATAGTTTTTACAAGTATTTATTTATTCATTGAGGAGGTGTTAATTTATTGGTGGATGGTTATTTGGACACACATGTCACAGTGCATGTGTGAAGTCAGAGAACTTGCACATCTATAATCCCAGTACTCAGGAAGGGGAGGCAGCAGACTCACGAATTCAAGGCAAGCTTCAGCTACATAGTGAGTTTGAGTCTAGACTGTAATACATGAAACCATCTCAATTTCTTTCTAATTAGAGCAAATTCAAAGTCATCTCTATAGCAAAGCCATTCTTAAGGACTTACAGTCTGACTTTACATCCCTCAGAGAGAATGGGATGAAGCTATCAGTAGCCAAAAACAAAGCGCACAGTGGAATGAGGTGGGCAGGAAACTGAGGTAAAGGCCAGGGCAAGACTAGGCTGTTATGAGTAGTTTTTCCCACGCCGGTCAGGTCCCATCGCCACGCCAGCCCCAAATAATACACAGAGATGCTGTATTTGATATAATGCTGTTGGCCAGTTACTAGTTTCTTATCGGCTAGCTCTGTCTTCAATATTAACCCATTTCTATCAATCTAAGTATTTCCATGTGGTCTTATCTTACCGGAGAGAGGGCTCGGACCTCTGTTCTCTCCATTCTCTCCATGTTGACTCCTCCCTACTACCTCGAATCCTCCTTGCCTCCTAGTCCCGCCTATCTTGCTTTCCTATTGGCCAACAGTGCTTTATTCATTAACCAATATGAGAAACATATTTACAGAATGACATCTCCCATCACTAGGCCTGATGCTCTGGTTTCCAAACTAAAGGCTGGTCCCTTCTCCAGCATCTCGTTTGCATCAGATCTTTCTTCAAGGAGAGATCTTTATTTGTGCAGAAGTAAATTAAACCCACCCCAACAAGGACAAGACAAAGCTACTCAGAGCTTGCTATTGCAAAGTAATCAACCAGTCACTTGCTTTGCAGGTAGGAAAATTCTCTAGGGCATCAAGAAGCCTTGGGTGTGTCCTGTTTGGATGCTGTTGGCCCAAGGAAGCTATGGATAGACTAACTAGGGAGATGGCCCTTTGTGATGGTTAGGAGAAACCAGTACAGTTTGTTTTTGGATTTTTTGTTTTGCTTTGTTGGTGGTGAGATGGAAACAAGAAAAAATATTAGGGAAGTTGACACCTACCCAGTCCTGAGCATAAGGAGCCATTGTTACTGAGGTTGTGGTTTCTTCTTCCAGGTTACAGAACTAATGGTTGAGAATTCTTACATAAGGGCAGCTCCTTGTCCTGGTATACATTTAATCTCTCAGTAACACATAAGCCTGTGCTGCCCCAGCTTGCAAAGTGAAAGTCTATCTCTGACATCAACTCATCTAGCCAATAAATGTAGAAGAAAAATTGATAATGAAGATATTCCTGCAGGGAAAGTGGATGGCACTTGAAGAAACCATCCTGAATGAGGTAACCCAGTCACAAAAAGAGGAACATGGTATGTACTCGCTCATATATGGATTTTAGACCTAGAGCAAAGGATCACCAGCCTATAATTCACACCACCAGAGGAACTAGGATACAAGGTGTATTCTAAGAGATTCATATAAAGTCCCTCACAGAAGGGGGAAGGGACAAGTCCCCCAGAGCACAGGGGAAGTGGAGGGGGCAGCGAATGGAGAGAGAAGTAGGAGAAAGAGAGGGGGAGGAGAGGAAAGCACATGCGACTAGGAAGATTGAGTCAGAGTAGGAATAGAAGACAGGGGAGAGAGATCATAAAAGAGGGAGCCAATATTGGTTTGAAGAGAAAACTGAAACCTAAAGAAAGGTCTAGAGACCTACAAGACTGCTGCCAACTAACAATTTGAGCTTCCATGGAAAGGCTACCATAAATGCCCTTCCCGGATAGTGAGATCAACAACTAACTTCTCCATGGAACCTTCATCTAATACCTGTTGGAAACAGAAGCAAACACCCATACCTAAACACTGAGTCAAACTAGAACCCAGATGAAGACGGAGAGGACAAGACCAGATTACAGAAACACATAGAGACAGCTGACCTGACCAAGGAGGAGCTAACGGGCCCCCAGACTGATAGCTGGGAATCTAGCATGCAATGGACTCAGGCCCCCTGAATATGGGTCTCAGCCAAAAGGACTGAGCAGTCTAAGGGACCTCAGACAGTGGAGCCAGGATGTATTCCTGGTGCACAAAAGGACCTTGCGAACACATCCCCCATGGAGGGATACTGCCTTAACCTAGAGACAGGAGAGAAGTCCTAGTCCCTACTTCACATGACCTGTCAGATCTACATGACCTCACCTGGATGGCATTGCCCTACATGTGGAATTGGGGTGGGGGAATGGGAGGGAGGGTGGTCAGGGTGCATGTGAGGGGGCAGAGAGGGTAAAAGGGAGGGAAGAAGGGAGGGGGAACTGGGATCGACATGTAAAATAATAAATTAAATAATAAAAAACATTATTGTATTAGAAAAAAAAGAAAGAAAATATTCCTGCAGTAAACCTAAAGCTGCCATAGAAGTTATGAAAAACCAAACTCATAATTCAGATAAAAGTGCTTTACATTATAAAGCAGGGAACTCTTTCAGTGTATCACTGCTGCAGTAGCTTGTAGCTGCCGCCTCTGGGTGACCTGTTCTCCCTCCTTTGACTATTAGAAGAACAGAACTAGATTCTAGAATCAGTTTGGTCTTCTTCCGCTGCTGTAACAACTTTAAGGAATGCGGGAAGCAGGGAGAAGACAAATGTCAACAAAATAAAGGCATTGGGAGATGAAGGGATTTAGAACTGGAATCCCAAGGCTTGGAGAAAAAGTGAACTGGGATTTTCAGGTATCTAGTGCACAGAACCAGGCAAATTACAGACTTTATTTTTCGCTCTTCATGAAAGTTTAGAACGGGGGCACTTAAAGAGAAGAGGTTTTAATTTAGAATAGTAATTACCAAGACTTAGTAGCATGCAATAATTGTAAGGTATAGGAGACACAGGGTATCGCGTGCTTCTAGGGGGGTGGGCATTGAGTAGAAGAGCAATGTAGTTGGGTGGATCTGGAGTCCCGGGAGGCTAGCGCGCAGCGGAAGGGACCACGGGGCTTTACGGTAACTCGGCACGGCCCCACCCTCGTGCGCAGGCGCGGAACCGTTGCCTGCTCAGCGGTTGCTGGCGGAGCGGTTTGCTAGCTGCTTAGTGGCTTGTCCAGCCTGACATCCTGGCGACCTCCTCACCCCGAGACAGTGTGCCGAGCGTCCGCGGCTCCATGGCGGCGGCGTCAGCCCGAGGTAAGGGAGAGTGAACAAGAACAAAAATGTAGGATTTACCAAAGACAGGGAGCTCGGGTCCGAAGGACGTGGGAAGAAGGTCCAGTCTTCAGGGTGCCCGGGACCCCCCGGCGGAGGGAACTGGAGCCGAGAGCACGCACCCCGTGACACTTGTCACAGAGAGAAGCCTGGGAGAACTGGGGCGTCCTGGGTACCAGCGACCCAACACGGGATGGAGACTGGTGTTCTCGGAAAAATTGAGGCTAAGGGTCAGCGCTGTGGCACAGGCGCGTGCTCTGAGTCCTGAAACCCCGCATTCTGAGCCACAGATGCCCAAGCCATACTCCGGGATCAGATTGGGGAAGTATGTGAGAAATGCTGGGGACCAGGGGTCCCTTTGGGCTTTTCGTGCATAATTTACACCGAGCTGCCCCTCCCCTCTTCGCAGTCTAGAAAAACTGAAACGACTTCGTCACTGCTCACTCGGGTAGGGTCACTTGGACCGGTTCGAAATGACACTTGTCTCTTCCTGATGCCTAGGGTCCATCGATGTGAGTCTCGTGGTGGTAGTTCATGGTGGCGGAGCCAGCAACATCTCAGCCGACCGGAAAGAGCGCGTGCACGAGGGCATCGCCAGAGCAGCCACCGAGGGCTACAACATCCTCAAGGCCGGAGGGAGCGCCATTGATGCTGTGGAAGGAGCTGTGATTGTCCTGGAAAAGGACCCGGAGTTCAACGCAGGTAAACTGTGCTTTGACTAGTGAATAATGTCAAATCGGGGCAAGCTCCTGCCCAAATAGGCACAGTTATCCCTCAGTCTGTCTGGCTTTATGGTCAAACAGTATGCTGGGACAATATGCAGTACTGAATTTTCTCATTCTGCATTAAATAACTTGTTTTGAGAATTTTTAAGTCTATTAATTCACCCTTTATTTAACCTTGTGCCCAAGGATTCAATACCAAAAGCCAAGCATCTTTCTGGGGAACCCTCCATAGCCTCAAATTCAAATGCTGGGGTTACAGGTGTAGACTTTTCATCTTGTGGGCCTTGGGGGTAGACCTAACATACCATGAAATGTAGAATTTTGGCTTTAAGAAGCCTGTGTGCGTCTCTGTGTGTGTTCTCTGCCTCTCCACTTTTAGGCTCAGAAATTCTGAACAGATGCCGGAAGAGTCCTTTATTATAATATCTGATCTCTAATAAATAATAAAGTCCCTAATCATCTTTCTGACTAGTAAATTGACTTTGGATAGGTCTCTAAGTAGTCTTTTTTACAGACCAAGCCATAGGTGGAAGCTTGGGATTTGCAGTCCCTCTTATCCCCTGGGCAAGACAAGGGGGTCCTCACAGTCAAGCAGTCCAAAAAAATCCCTGAATTTGGGGGTTAGGAGAAATTCCACTTGGTATGTCCATGTGCCAGCCCCATCTCCACAGCACAAAAGAAGGCCCACCACCAGACACCCTTCCTGACCCTGACCTGTGTGTGTCTTCATCTTGCTGTTTGACTGCCTCCTTTATATAACAAGCTGGTACTACGTCTGACTGAGTTCTGTGAACTGCTCCAGAAAATTAAGGTGACTTGCAGTCTTCTGGCAGAAGTTCAGATAACCTACTGCTTAGAATTGGCATTTGAAGTAAGGAAGCAATCTTGGGGGACTGAACTCCTTACCCTGTGGGATCAGACTCTTCATGTGGCTAGTATCAGAAGGTCAGTGTTCTGCCAGATGTGTCCCCCACCCCCAGCTCTTTCCTGGCCCCTTGCAGTCACTCCCCGCTTTGTCGACAGCTTCAGCCCATTCATCTACTTTTGTCAGGGTAAATTAGTTTCCATTTCCTAAAAAATCATATAAATGCAGTCAGAATGAATTATTCTGTGTTTAGTCATGTTCCAGGATAATGATCACCAACCATAGTCAGTGTGTCTACACATCCCAGGTAGGAGTGGTCTAAGACATTCAGAAGATTAACTCACTTAAGTTGTGCTATAGTGTTGTGAAGTAACCATAATTACTTTGATCATCTCTCAGAATGCTGCAGACACAGAAAGATTATCTTACTGGGAAAATATTTATTTCTGTTTTAAAATAGAAAAGCTAAGATCTTAAGATTACAATACTTCTTGGACTGCACCACCCACACACCATCTGTCATGAGAAAAAAATTTTGGATATCTCAATTAATCATCAGGTGTGTACTGTTTGTTCCACCGTCTTGACCCTGCTAGGTGCTCTGACAAAGAACAATTCCATGAGTCAATCAGCATGTCCACAGATAGAGATCTTACAGGGTGGTTCTGTTCATTCAGTGTGCTGGCCAGCAGGGTGGAGCCACACTCATGCCTGTGGGGTCAGTCTAAGCTGTGTCTGGTTGCAAGAAAGACAGGCATGTGTGAAATATACAAATACACTTGCAGGCAAACACTCGTGCATATAAATTACAAAAAACAAAACAAAAAAAAGCAACAAAAGCAAAAACAAAGCTGCGTACTAGGTGGCCAGAGTGTTCTTGAGTGTGGAAAGGAAGACACCGTTTGTATTTGTTTTTTCTTACATGTTTTCCAGTGATATACACTTTGAAGCACACAAAATTTTATTCATAACCAAATACATCTAAAAAGTTTAGAAAAATGTTTAGGAAAAAGGGCTAGGAATATATTTTCTTGCCTTTGTTTTGAAACCTCCAGGTGGTTCTGAGGTGTCACCAAATTTACAAGCCACTATCAGAGCCAATCAATTTTAATGTTTTAATTTCATACATTTACATGCAACAAAATCCCCTTTCCTAAATGTAGTTTTGCCTGTGACAAACATATAATAACCATTGCCCAATAAAGATATAAAAATTCCCATTGCTCCACATCACTTTGAATCTATACTCTATGCAGCCATATACCTTGCTAGCAATTATTTCCTGTGCCTATGGTTTTTGCCTTTGCCATTGTCACAACAGGACCTTGTGATATGGTAAGTTGTTACATCTGGGCTCGGCTTACCATGATGTGTTAGTCATCTCCATAGACAGAGGGATCCATGATTTCACCCTTTCACGTCTAACAGTATCCCATGATCTGGCATGCCCATCACAGCCATGGAGAGCCTAATACAGAACCATAAACTTACTTAAAACCTGACTTTTTTGTACAATTTTTTTTTTAACTCAAATCATGTGGCTCTTGAATGTGAACTTTGGAGATGACAATATTGTATTACAGTGTCAAAGACTGGACCCTCCTGGTAAATGTACAACTACTTGTGTAGCCATTCACTGGCTGAACATGGTCCACCAGAAGACACTTTAAATCAAATCACCATAAACACAAATGGAAGATTTTTATATGAACACAAGTTTCTTCTTGGGCATTCAAGAAAGGTTGTGGTCTAGTTTGACAAGAGTATATTTAACTTTATTAGGAACTTACAAACTGTGTGATTGTGATTGCCTTCTTTTTCCAGGAGCACACAGACACTCTGTTTTGTTTTGTTTTAACTTTAGCCAGCCTAATGTCAAGGTAAATGTGTTGTAGTGCTCATTTGCACTTCCAAAAATGGTAAATGATGTTAAACATTTTATGAGAGAGAGAGAGAGTGTGTGTGTGTGTGTGTGTGTAGTACCTATTCAGTCAAGTCCTCTGTCTGTTTTTATTAGGTTATTTTCTTTCTGAAGAATTCTGGGGATTTTTATATTTGAGATATAAATCTCTCATCAGACTATGACTGTGACTAGCTGATGTGTCTTCCTCACTCCGACTTTATCTTTTCGGTCTCTTGTGAATGTCTTTCCAACAGTGTGGAGTAGAATGAGGTAGAAAAGACCAGTTATTAGACCGTGGTTTGTTGATTTATTTAGTGGTTCACTTAATACACCACCGGTACTGCCTGTTTGCCAAGCATGACTTCACTGTTACCTGGAACAGAATGACCTAGAGAATTAGCTGAAACAATGGGTCATTGCCCTTAACAACCTACTGGCTGCCATGAATGCCTCTGTAAAATCTCGATTGCTTGCCCATCCCACCTTGTGGGTTTTAGAGTTTGAAATGATAATACAATCTGAACCTAATCCCATCCTGGCTTCAGCCCACCCTTGTCTCTCCTCTCTTCCTCTGTCCTTGGTGCTCCAGAAAGATCCCCGCATCAAGTACACATTCTTGATTTTGTAGAAACACAACTTATCCTTTTTTGTTGTTGTAAAAAATCATACATTTCCTACCATAGCTTGAAGAACAGTTGCCTAAAATTTTTCTTTCTGGTTATCTTCTAAAACTTTTAAAATATAGTTGGTTATGAATAAAATTTTGCATGCTTTAAAGTGTATATCAAGTTTCAACATTCTGTATAAATCATTGGAGAAATATGATGGAAAAAACAAACTGTGTCTCCTTTTCTACATTCATGGAATACTCTGGCCCATAATATTTATCAGGGTTTTTTATTTATTTATTCTTTTTTGGGTTTGTTTTATGTGTATTTGTCTGAATGTATGTTTGTGTGCCTTGTGCATGCCTGGTACCCTCAACGGTCAGAAGAAGATGTTGGACCACCTGGAAATGGAGTTTACAGACTGTTGTGAGCCACCATGTGGATGTTAGGAATTGAACCTGGATCCTTTGGGAGAGTGGCCAGTGCTCTTAGCCACAGAGCCATCTTCCCAGCCTGAAGCAGGGTTTTTAATACCACCAGCTCTCTAACACTTTGGATCCCAATCAACTGTGCTTCTACCTCAGTGTTTCTCAACATGTGGCTCACAGTCCCTAGAGGGTTCACATATCAGGAATTTACATTAGGATTCATGACAGTACTCACTATCCTTGGGGAGTGGGTTGAGGGGTGGGCTGGGGGGGACAGTGGGGGTATGGGAGAATGGGAGGGAGAGGGTACAGGGGGGATTGATATGTAAAATAAGATTTGTCTCTAAATTGTTAAAAAACGGACAAAAACAATAAAATAAAATAAAATGGACATGTCTTTCCAATTCAAAAAAAATAAAAAAACAAAAAAAGGATTCATGACAGTAGCAAAATTACAGTTCTAAAGTAGTAACAAAGTAATTTTATGGTTGGGGATCACCACAACATGAGAAACAGCATTAGTAAAGTTGAGAACCACTGCTCTGCCTGGAGTATAGACTCAACATAGTAAGGGCTCAGTTGCACAAAACTTTCCCCTACTAAAAACACCAGTCACAAATATTGGGTACCCAGGTGAGTTATACATCTGCCCATTGTGGCTACAGTCTGGTCTTCCTGTATCGCCCTGCTCAGGTTCAGTAATTTTCTATGATTAAAGAGACGTTCAAGGAGAGTCTTCCTTGTATTTGTGTTATGAAGTAAATAATGAATAATAGTAATGATCAGCCAAGCCAGATGTGGTGGCACATACCTTACGTCCCAACACTTGGAAGGCAGAGACAGATGGGTCTCTGTGAGTTCAAGGTCAGCCTGGTCTACAGAGTTCCAGGACAACCAAGGCTGTGTAAAGAGACTCTGTCTCAAAACAAAACAAAACAAAACAAAACCAGAACAGCCACAGGAAGGGGAATGTGGTGCAAGGCCCGGTCTATTCTGACACTTTTCACTTATCTAGCAGGACTGAATTGAAATCCTGCCATTGAATCTAGTTTCCTGCTTGGTACCACATGCAAATAAGCAGTGTGTGTCCTGGGGTGGGGGAGTTGCTTGTTGAATGACCAACCGATGAAGAAGGGGATTTCATGCTCTAGAGGCATGGTCCTCCCTGAGCAAAAATCCTGGTGGGATTTACTGGGACTGGACTGGGTGTTGGGGATAGGGTAGTGCATACTGTCATTATAGCTTTAAATAAAGAAGGGGGGAGATCTTCAGTAAACAGGCTGCCACTAACTTGGATGTAGTTGGATCTGCTCTGGCACCTATGGGGGGGTGTTTTTTTAACATTAGAAGATTATAATGATGCCAAGGTCAACTGGAGTATCAACATGATGTCCAGCTGGTCTTGAGACTTGCCACATCTGTGTAAAGCAATGACATACGTGATAACAGCTGGGGGCATGTTTCCAGTCTAGCTGATGAAAGCTACAGACCAGCAGTAAGTTGAGGGCTCAGACTGGTTCAGTCCTACAGATTCAGGTCCCATGTGCCTGCCAGAAAGTGTGTGTGTGTGTGTGTGTGTGTGTGTGTGTGTGTGTGTGTGTGTGTTTCCCCTTATTACAAACTTTCATAAGTTACTTGTATATTCTAGATAGAAATCTTTGATTACATCCATTAGTTTGGTCTGTAATTTTTTTTTTTTTTTTTGTATCTCTCAGTTGGACAAAAAAAAAAGTAATTTAACCATACTGCCTTTCAGTGAGTCCATTTAGAATATTTACATTTTATGCAACTACTGATAAGTTAAGGGCTTACAACAGCTATTATGTTTTAAGGTCTATTTACTCTTGTTTTTCTATTTGTTTGTTCTTCCTCCCTTAAGTCTTTTTGGTTTTTTCAAGATAGGGTTTCTCTGTATTATTTTGGACCATGTCCTGGAACTAGCTCTGTAGACCAGGCTGGCCTCGAACTCAAAGATCCGCCTGCCTCTGCCTCCCGAGTCCTGGGATTAAAGGTATGTGCCACCAACACCAGACTCCTTTAAGTCATTTGAACTTCAGTTTTAGAAATCTGTTTTGCTTTATCAATAGTATTGAGTATATATCTTTGCATAAAATTTTAGGGATTTTCTCTAGAGAGTGAGTGAGATAGATAGATAGATAGATAGATAGATAGATAGATAGATAGATAGATCCTACCAATGGAGGCAAAATGCCTTCCCGTTGTTTTCAGTTTTCTTTCCTGGGGACATTGGGAACAATTTCACGATCTTGTCATTTTCTTTTTTGCAACAACTAACAAACAAACAAACCATAGAGGAGAAGGCAAGCCCACTGCATTTACCCAACTTTTCACTTTCTCTGCAGCTGGTTCGTCTATCTTGGTTTTGCAGGATTCCTCCTCCAAAGTTATCTCTCTGCTTCAAGGCCCCTTATAGTCATTCTTCTGGGTTAGGTCCACTGGCAACAGATTCTGTTTTTCTCCATCTAATTTATAGACTGAATATTTGTACCCATGTTTGTGCCCCTACAAAATTCTAATGTGGAACCCAGGATCCCCCACTGTGCCAGGATCTGGAGATAGGGCCACTACGGAAATTGTTCACATTAAGTGAGGGCATGGGACAGAGTTCTGATCTAATTGGACTAGCATTGTTACAAAAAGAACCAGAGGGGCTGGAGAGATGGCTCAGTGGTTAAGGGCACTGACTGTCTTCCAGAAGACCTGGATTCAATTCCCAGCACCCACATGGTAGCTCACAGCTGTCTGTAACTCCAGTTACAGGGGGACTGACACCCTCTTCTGGCCTCCACGGGCACCAGGAACACTCATGGTGCATAGACATACATACAGACAAAATATCCACAGACATAAAATAAAAATAATAATAATAAAGACAAGAAAACTGGGGATGGCTCCTCAGGTAAAGTGTTCAATTGTGGGAACCTAAATTTGGATCCCCAGGACCCACACAAATCTGCAGTAGACCATGCAGTAGACCATAGCACTCCTACAACTGGATGGTAGGCAGAGACAGGAGAATCAGCAGGTGCACATGGGCCAAACAGCCTAGTGTGTGCAGCGGTGAACACTTTAGACTGTGGCTAAAACAAGATGGAGGTGGTTCCCCTGGCTTCCACAAGTGCACCATGGTACACCGTGCCAGCACTCATAAGAACACACTCAATGGTCTTCACTGACTGACTAGAATTTATCCCTGTAGCACCAGGAGAGAGCATTGGAATGCAGTGACCTCAGAAAAAGGTCAGCCTTTTAGGCACTTTGACCTTGGGCTTCCCAGATTGAGAAGTAGCTTTCTGTTGTGTAAGCAACACAGTCTGAGGTATCTTGTTATAGTAGCCCAAACAGACTAGTACAGTCTAGATTTCATAGATGATTAGGAAGTGTATTTTGTTAGATACAGAATTCTGATTTGATAGTTCTTTTCTTTCAGCCCTGGGAAAATGCTGTACCTCTTTCTGACCTCCATGGTTTCTGCTGAGAAATCCTTTGTCATTATAATTGGTTTTCCCCTATAGGTAAGGTGTCATTTCTTTCTTGCTATTTTCAAGACTGTTTTTCCAGTGCATGGGGTTGAACCCTCACAAAGCACTTTACCATCCCTGGCCCCTCAAGACATTTTTATATTCTTTGTATTTAATAGTATTGGGGGTTTGTTCCACCTCTTGAATTTGTAGATTTAGACCATTTGTCAAATGTGGACAATTTTCAATCATCACTTCCTTGAATGCTTTTTAGACCTAGACCTTTCCTCCCTCCTTAGGGACTCCAGAAAATTAGGTGTTAGATCTTTGGTTAGGACCCTTGGTTCCTTGGCCATCCTCACCCAACTTATCCCTGTCTACTTTGTGCCACTTGTTCAGTTTGGGCAATATCTTTATTCTTTCTCTTAAGTTAACTATTCTTTTCTACTAATTCATATCCTTGCACAGATTAATGAAGTTTTCTTTGTCATTTGCTTATGAAACAATACTACTGATTTTTCTATATTGACTTAAATCTATTTGGCTATAAAAAGAAAGACTAAGTTACTTTTATAATGGACTTTTATTTTTATTATTATTATTGTGTGTGAGTGTATGTGTGAGTGGGCATGTGTGCGTGTGAGCATGTGTGCGTGAGTGAACATGTGAGCGTGTGTGTGAATATGCTTGTGTGTAAGTGTGTAAATGGGTGCACTTGTGCCATGCATGGCATGTGAGTAGAAGTCAGAGGACAGTTTCAGAGGTCAGTGCTTCCACTGTGGGTTCTAGAACAGAAATGGAACTTGGTTCCTCTGGCTTCCATAGAAAATGCTTTCACCTGGCGAATCTACTTGCCTGCCCCTGGATTGCTTTTAAACTGAAATTTGAGGTTGTATTTTTTAAAGATTTTATGAGAATATAGTAATTAAACATAATAATGTGTCTGTTTTGACATTTTTATGCCTAATTATATTTTAATCATTTACTCATCTATCACCCCCTCTTCCCTTTCAAAACTCTCCTTAATCTTCTTCCTTTTCCCAGCTAGTCTCCAGTCCTCTATTTTTATATCTTTTAGTCTTTGTTGTTGTTGTTGTTTTGTTTCTGGGGACAAGTCTCACTGGGAAGCTCAAGCTGGCCTGGAACTCATTGTGTAACTCAGGCTGTCTCCTGAGTGCCAAGGTTACTTGGGATGACATGTTTCTACTGCCCACCAGCCCACAATGCATCTCCCACATAATGTATAGTGTATTGGCTAGACCATTCAATGGTATGATTCAGTAGGAAAAATGGAGCAAACATACTTGCTAGTGGGCAGCTACAGAAAGAAGACACTCAGGCTACCACCATAAAGTATGATGCTGGCTGTAGAATTTTAAAGATGACATTTATTGGATTGAGCAAATCCATTCATATAAGTCCATCTATGCATGAGGGTAGAACCCATAACACAATTATCTTTATTAGGCCCCACCTATTAAGGGTTCCCCTCCTCAGTGATGGAGTCCTGGAGACCTGAGGGAGACAAACCATATCTAAAACAATAGATACCAAGTCAGATGTGTTTTCACGATGTTCCTGTAGCAGTAGAACAAAGGATGGGTTGAAAGAGATTGGTTGGAGGAAAATCTGAAGTCTTTCATAAATTTTTCACTCTTGCTTTTCAACTTCTTCATTTAGGTTGTGGGTCTGTCCTGAATGCAAAAGGTGACGTTGAGATGGATGCTAGTATCATGGATGGGAAGGACCTGTCTGCAGGAGCGGTGTCTGCTGTGCGTTGTATCGAAAACCCCATTAAACTTGCACGGCTTGTTATGGAAAAGGTACACGTGATGGGAACATCACTTCCTGAGACACTGTTACTGCTGCGTTTCTGGGGTGAATGGGCTGGATTGTGAGCAGTGCTGGAGCTCGATGTTGTAAACATGCACAGGAGACACACATAGTGTGTTAGACTGCCGGAGATTAGCCATTGCTTTGATCCTGTTTGACGACTAATAACTGTGTGACACCTGCTGACTGTGTCATCTCCTGGCACAGCTCAGCAACAGATCATTTCACTAGAGTTCATCCAAGCCCTGGGATTGACTGTCAGCACAGACAACAAAGGGGCACAGTTCAGTTTTCACTTTAGGGCATTTAACACTAAAAAATAGTAATTCTATGCACACCATAGAACAGGTAAACTGAATATATATACATATATACATGTATATATGTATATATATTCATATATGTATGTATTATGTATGTAAACATATACATTTATTTTAAAAATTAAAACAAAAGCAAAAAACCTTCTTTGTCCCCTCCCACCATGGCTTAGACACCTCATTGCTTTCTGACTGGCCACGGTGCAGAGAAATTTGCAGCAGACATGGGGATCCCAGAGATTCCTGTGGAAAACCTGATAACAGAGAGAAGCAAGAAGCACCTGGAGAAAGAGAAGCTTGAGAAGGGAGCGCAGAGAGCCGACTGCCCTAAGTAAGTTCCACATGCCACCCAGACTTCCCGAGTAACACAGCTGGGGAGTTCAGCCGTGTCCCCTTCCCTGTGGTCCCTGAGTAGATGAAACTCTGCAGAGGGAGAGTAGCTCTCCTTAGCCTTAACTTTACCCTCATTTATTCCTCCTATATGCATAAGGAGTTGAACTAACAGTCTTCTCTGGCACAGTTAAGCAGAAGGTTGCTAGCCAGGTTTGATGGCACACACATATGATCCCAGCCATCAGCAGGCAAGACAAGAGGGCAGGGTTCGAGACCGCCTGGGCCACAGAGTGAGACCCTAGCTCCAAAACTAATAATAATTCAGTAGGATCCAGGAGCTTGTAAGAGAACAGAATCCCGTCTCATAACAGTACAAAGTTGCTAGAGTTTACCAGATGTCAACCTTCAAATAACCTAGACAGATTATATATATTCAGACTAATTATATATGTGTGTGTGTGTGGTCCGCTTCCCCAAAGAATCAGTTTTGATGGGTCTAAGGCAGGCATAATGTGCAAATCTCTGAGATAATTCTGATGCCTTTCCAGGTTATAGGATTGAAAATGTTAACAAACTATTATGCTCCCGTTTGCTCCAAGGTAGGGTCATGCTATGGAGCTGAGGCTAAGTCTGGACTTTGTAATCCTCCTGCCTCAGCTTCCAAGAGTTAGATTTGTGTGTGTCTCCACCTCAATAAGAAGCACTTGTACCATTTAAATTTTTCTGGTAGCCACATACAAAAGTGAAAGAAACATAGAAAATGAATAACGTGTGTGTGTGTGTGTGTGTGTGTGTGTGTGTGTGTGTGTGTGTGTGTGTGTAACAGGGTCTACTGGCTGGCCTGGACTCACCAAGCTGACCTTGGACTCACAGAGACCCACCTGCCTCTGCCTCCTGATTTCTGAGATGGAAGCACTGGCTAAAGTAGAAATTTAAAGGGCCAGGTGGACATCTGCCCTCTAGAGCATGTAGAATAAGAGACAAATGTTTCCTTGAGCCCAGGATATATAATGTGGGCATTTAAGCAATTGTGAGTTACAGTGTCACTCAGGGACTGTTCCTCGCCTTCATTCTCATTTTTCTGCTTATGTTTGGCAGAAACTTGGGAACGGTGGGTGCTGTTGCCTTGGACTGCAAAGGAAATGTGGCTTATGCGACCTCTACTGGGGGAATTGTCAATAAAATGGTTGGCCGAGTTGGAGACTCACCTTGCATAGGTAGGACTGTTCACACCCCGCCCCTTCCTTCCATGTCAGTCAGACTCCCACCTTTTCCTGTGTCATTTCCTTTCCCCTCTTGGTGGCAGCACTGCTCTGAGGTGTTGACATCAGTCTCCCCTGGGTTACATCTTGGGAGAGAAAGTATAGATGATGATGCTAAAGTTGTTGCAGATAGCTGCAGCCATGCCTGACTTCTCTGGAGGCCCAGTTCCGGGGCCTTGGGTCCTTGCAGAAGGCTGAACACATAGTACCTCTTCCCAGGCATGGGAAGCTGAAAAAATTGGGCTGGAAAGATGGCCGCGGGGGCGGGGGAGGGGGGTACTTGCTGTGCATGCATGAGGACCTGAGTTCAGATCCCCAGCACCCATGTAAAACGCTGGGGCAGCAGTGTGCATCTGTAACCCAGCACTGGGAGAGGCAGAAATGCGTAGATCCCAGAGCCTGCTTGCCAGCTAGTGAGCTAAATTATCAAGCTCCAGGGTTGGTGAGAGGTGAGAAACACTATCTCCAAAAATAAGGTGGAGAGAGAAAGAGAGAGGTGCTGGGAACCCACCTCTGCCCTCTACATGCACACCTGCACATGCTCACACTCATACACAAGGTGGGGTGGGAGGGGTGGGGGTAAAGACATCATAGTTTCAGGTCCTATATGCGAGTAGCACACTCCTATAGACTGAAATGTCCCTCGTATCATCACCACACGCAAAACAAGCAGCAGCGAGCTGTAGAAGTGCATCTTTTGCTCTGTGCACTTGGCACTTTCTTGTGGGAATTCCTACAAACCTCTGCAGCTGAGTGACATTTCAAGAAATAGTTACATGGTTCATTTGTCCAAAAGAGCAGCTTATACTTTTAGCAGAAAACTTGACTTTTTGTGTGTGTTGTGATACTCTTAGTGATAATTATGCTCTTGACAGTTTGTGCCTATACAGTGGTGGCCTCAGAGGAAAAGCACAGAGACTCTTTAAAAGCCAGAGGCCTGCCTGTTGAGGTGCCTCATCACTCAGAAGCAGACGTAAAACACTTGCCTTTTTTCTCCTTAGCAAAAACCCTGCTAAAATATGGCTGCTCAATACTACAGCCTGCATCCAGCTGGAATCAGACCAAACTCCAGGCTTCAACCCCAGGGCCAGGCAGGGTCAGAGCTTAAGTTCAGGCTTTGTGGGTCTTTATGGCAAAGTACTGAGGGGAAATCCGTGATCTGAAGTCCCAGAAGCCACTCTCTTCATTGTGGGCACCAAATGTGCTCATTTTCACCTTTCTGACAAGCATTCCCCAGGAGGGTCCAGCTGTCCCTCAAGGACATTCTGGAGGTGACACTAAGCACACAATAACATTTACCTCAGCAGTGCAGTTATCATACTAAAAAAGGGGTTGCCCATGCCAGGATCCATGCAGTCACCTTGGCCTTTTCAGTTCTAAAGACACTGAAAAGAAAATGAAGGTGTGGCTGCTTCTAAATAGTAGGGCCTCCTTGACACCATGGAGTCGGTCTAGTTCATCCCACAGCAAAAGCTTGGAGGGAAGGGAAAAGCCTCCTCCTATCATAAAACTCCGTATTCCTCACCTAATCTCTGCTTCCCGAGAACCAAAACCATGGAGTTACCTGCTTTCAAGCACCCTGGGAAACTAACACTCAGCAGAAATCTGCCCTCCTGAGCCCTTTTCCCATACCCACATCATTAAATAAGGCAAATGTCAACATGATGAAGCTCCATCAACCAGAACAGGGTAAGGGGAAGCCTGCCAGGCTGTGGGACTCTCAGGCTGGTGACTCTGTGAGACCAGATAAGGAATGATGATGAGATGGCTGTAGAGTTGCTTAGAATAAGACAAGGGAAGAAATTTTATCAAATCACTTTGGCTCCAGAACCCATTATATGGCTAGCCCAGAATAGTTCTATCAGGTCTCATTAAGCTACTTTCAACAGATAGAATTGATTTCTAAATCATTGTGCTATGTGGAGAGGTAAGCCCTAGGAGGGTTTCGTTTTCCCAGATTATTTTAATGTCAGATGGCTGTCCTAGTCATCCAGATGACACCTCCAAGATGTCCTTCATCCTTAGGGAGTGATGTGCAAGAGGAATGGCATCACTGAGAGACATGAGATGGATATCCTTTAGGACAAGGCAGGCGATGCCCTGGTGTCCCTGCTCTGGGAAAGGCCACACCTGCCTCCTGAAGCTCCCATCACCCTGGGCCCTGTGTGTTCACAGGTGCCCCTTTGTACACTTTCGCCTCACGGATCATGAATATGGATCTGACCTCTGTCTACACCTCTAAGATATAACGTCATGTGGCATGAACCTTGCATTTGAACTTTTTGACTGTAGTTGCTCAGTTAAAACCAGTCTCCTCTTTTGAGCAGGAGCTGGAGGTTACGCAGACAATAACCTTGGAGCCGTTTCAACCACAGGACATGGGGAAAGTATCCTGAAGGTGAATCTGGCCAGACTGGCCCTCTTCCATATAGAACAAGGTACGTCAGCTGTGAGCAAGTGCATAACTGGTAAGGACAAACTCACAGATGCTCTTCAACCACTGTCAGGGCAATGTATGGAGCCTTTCTTGCCCCAAGATAGTTCATACTATTCTAACCCATGCCTACATTCTGGTAGGATCTGGACTAGAAGGACCTTTAGAATATTATTCTAGAATATTGTTCTCTGGGCTGGGTAAATCCCTCAGTGTGTAAGAATGCTTGCTGCATAAGCATGAAGACCTGAATTCAGATTCCAAGGACATGTTAAAAGTCTGGTATGGCTGTGTAGGTGCCTATAAGCACTTCAACACCGTGGAGGTAGAGACAGGAGTACCACTGGGATTTGCTGGCTTCCATGCATATGTGTGGGTACACACATGGGCACATACACAATACATGCCTGCTGTCATCTAACACCACAAAAAACAAGGCAGTACAGGGGTTGAGCTTGACCATGGTGTAAGGGGGAAGATGTCTCTGTCCCCTTTAAGCATATATGTTGTGGTAGTTTGCTGGTAAGTATGACCAGATGCCTGACAAGGAGCCCCTTAAGGATGTTCGTTTTGGTTCACACTTTGGGAAGTATGGGCCACAGAGATGGGCAGCTTCGTGGCAGTGGATCAGGAAACAGACAGGATAGGAAGCAGGGCCAGTCCCCACCCCTTCTTCTAGAACCCACTCTCTCCATGAAGCCCGGCCCTGGATTTCACAATGTCCCAAAGCAGTGACACAACTGGCGTCCAGGTGACCAAACTTGGGAGCCTGTGAAGAATCTTGCGTGATGTTTCTCACCCTCTCCTTGTTTTCAGGAAAGACTGTAGATGAGGCTGCTGAGTTGGCACTGAATTACATGAAGTCAAAGCTCAAAGGTCTAGGTGGCCTCATCTTGGTCAGCAAAACAGGAGACTGGGTAGCAAAGTGGACCTCTGCCTCCATGCCCTGGGCAGCGGTGAAGAATGGCAAGCTGCAGGCCGGCATTGACATTTGTGAAACCAGGACCAGGGACCTGCACTGAGCCCCAGAAGATTGTAATCTGCTCGCTAGCCTGGAGGTGAAGTTAAACTGCCTGGTGGAGACCTAGCTTAATCAATTAGACCTAGACATGGAAAACTTATGCAGTCTGTCCCTCCTTTTGTTGCCTTAATCAATAACTCAATGAATGTTCGGTTGAGGGTTGGGTTCTGGAGCGATGAGAGATGCCTATGATAAGTAAGACCAGTGAAGATGGAAGGCTTCTTTCCTAGGTAGACCTTCTTTCCTAGTCTCCATTGTGCAGGCTACAAGGGAGCTGCTATATCTTGACCACAGAACTGTCTCTGGGCTGGGAATGCCTTTTGGATTGGAAGAACAGCAATTTGCAGAGGCTAGGCAGGGAGGGTATGGGGGAAAGGTCTAAAGAAAGGTGTCTGAGAAAAAGACCCAGGTCCAGGTGAAGCTCAAAATCTTAGAGTTCATTCTGAGTCACAAACACCTGGCAAGGTGTGCAGGGAGGAGCTCTTCATCTGTGAGGGGAAATGGATCTTTCCAGAAATCTCAAACTTCTCCAACACATATCTGGGTACTTGAAGAGACTCCATAGCTGCCCAGCTGTAGACTAATGGGGTCTGTGGGGTTTCTTAACATCTGGGGTTTTTTCTTGGCTCACAGGTGAGCTCCCAAAAGCCAGCCCCACCTGACCCCAGTCCTAGTTGTCGTCACATGAGTGTGATTGGGCTCGTGAGCTTTCCGGCCTCTCCAACAGTGGTTTGGCAGATGGCTGGAGAGATGACACTGACTCACTGAAGGAGTAGACTGCCAGTACTTTGAGAAGGTTCCATGCACCCTGAATCAGATGTTCAGGGTGGCGAGCATGATGCGGGATGCAGTCTCTTTAGCGGAGAGCACTTGTGCACTCGCCATGGCCCTGGAAATGGCATGTCTGCTCAGCTTTTTATCTATCGGGGATTCCCTTCTCTCTGGGAAGAAACTGGTTAACTTTAAATTCCACATGCCACTAATAAAATGTATTTTTGAAAGAATAAGTGTGGTTGGTTAGGTGTCACTGTTGACCAAGGCCAGATGGCTACAAGCTCCCCTCTTGGTCCCTCAGTGCAGGCAGCTATAATAGATGAGGGGACCTTTTAAGGGTGGTGTGTAAGTGTGGTATATTCTGCCTCGTGGGGGGTTAGTAGGGAGTTGTTTTTTTTAAAGAAACATTGAACTTTCTCAAGTGTTAAAGCAGAAACAAAATCGCCATTTCCAAGTGTCAGCCAGACTCATGGCTGTCTGCCCAACACTTTGCCCAGCTTCACAGTGGCTCCTGACCCAAGTCCTCTTTGTGAGCCTGTGCTGCTCTATATTAGAGAGAATGAAAGAGAATGAAAGAGGCATGAAGAGTCAGAACTGAGCTTGAGGCTGCCCCTCCTCACTACCCACAGGGCCCTGGGAACATTAGCCTTCAAGAATTTTTCATCTGTGGGAATCCTCTAGGACTCTGAAGATTAAGTGAAAGTGAAGAAACACAGTGTATCAAAGGATCCTGTGGACAAGTTCATAAACTATAGCCAGCCCCTGGTGTAAGGATGGTTATGCATTGATAAGGCCTTAAGGCCTCGGTATGCAGGGCCTGCTGCTTTAGCAGGAAGCGTTTTGTTAAGAGCTGTATTTGTCTGCTAGTGCTACCACAACAAAAGGCCTTGGGCTGGGTGCTTTAATTATCAGAAGGTTATCTTCACAGTTCTGGACACTGGAAGTCCAACATCAAAAGCTGGAATTTTGTTTGGCTGGTTGGTTAGTTAGGTTTGATTTTTTTTGTTTTTTGTTTCTAGTTGGTTGGTTGATTGGTTGGTTGGTTGGTGGCTTTGAAGGGTATTGTTAGGGGTTTCTTGTTTTGTTTTGTTTTTTATTGTAGTTCTGTTTTTTTGAGACAGAAGCTCTCTGTATAGGCCAAACTGGCCTTTGAATTCTCAATCCTTCAGACTCAGCCTCCAAAGTGCAGAGATTATGGGCCTATAGATATGTACCCCCTGCCTGGCCACCTAATGTGAGATTTTCTCGGAATACACAGAGCCTTAGTCACTTGAATTCAGATTTCCCCAGCCCCACAACACTCACTTTAAGTTCATCACTCCTTTGGTGGCCCTGTCCCCAAATACAGTCACATTCTGAATTACTGAGGAAGGGAGGGGCTTAGAGATCCAGCCTGTGAACTGAAGGAGTAACATAGACAAAGCAAAAGCCGTGGCAGAGATTGGAAAGGGAAGAGGCCCTTTGAGACAATCACACTCACTAGATACCTAGCAAAGGGGATGGGGACAGAAAAGCCAAATGGAAGATCTGACCCTGGACTTCTCTGTTCTGCCAAGCACAAGGGAGGTAACCCTGGTTAAGAGACTTCTAGAGCCTTTCCCACTCTGTAGGCTGCTGTGTTGTCTTGTTGACTGTGTCCTTTGCCTACAGAAGCTTCTCCGTTTCAGCAGGTCCCATTTATTAATTGTTGAGCTCAGTGTCTGTGCTACTGGTGTTATGTTCAGGTCAATTCGCTCAGTACTGATCCCCAAAATATATGAAGAACTCAAGAAATTAGACATCAGTAAACCAATTAAATCCAATTAAAAAATAGGGTAGAGATCTAAACAGAGTATTCTCAACAGAGGAATATCAAATGGCTGAGACATAAAGAATTGCTTAACACCCTTAGTCGTCAGGGAAATGCAAATCAAAATGACTCTGACACCATCTTAGACCAGTCAGAATGCCTAAGAGCAAGAGCACTAATGACAATCTGTGCTGGAGAGGATGTGGAGTAAAGGGAACACTTCTCCACAGCTGGTGGGAGTGCCAACGTGTACAAACAATTTGGAAATCAGTATGGTGGTTCCTCAGGAAAATGGGAATCAATCTGCCACAAGATCCAGCAATTCCACTCTTTGACATATACCCAAAGGATGTCCAATCATTTGACAAGGACACTTGCTCAACTATGTTCATGGCAGCTTTATCCCTAATAGCCAGAAGCTGGAAACAACCCAGATGTGTAAATGGTACATTTACACAATGGAGTATTACTCAGTTGTTAAAAACAATGACATCAGGAAATTTGAAGGTAAATGGATGAAACTAGGAACAAAATCCTCAGTGAGGTAACCCAGACCCAGAAAGACAAATATGGTATATACTCACTCATAAGTGGATTTTAGCTGTAAAGTAAAGGATAACCATGATACAGTTCATAGCCTCAGAGATGTTAGGTAACAATGAAGGCCCAAAGAGAGATACATGGATTTCCCTAGGATGGGGAAATAGAACTCTTGGGTAGACTGGGGCTGGTGAGGATGGGAACATGAGGGATTGGGTTGGAGGGGGGAGGTGGAGGGAGGGGTTAATGAAAAGCATTGCTTTGGAACCTGTCCTGGAACTTACAGATATACACCTGCCTCTGCCTCTTGCGTGCTGGGATTAGAGACGTCCACCACCACCACCCAGCCCGGGAGAGAGTAATGAAAGAGATGAGACATCTTGTTGGGGGGGGCGTGGTGGATCAGGTAGAAACCTGATGCAAGGGAGACTCCCACGGATTTACAAAGATGACCCCAGCTAAGATTCCTAACAATAGTGGAAAGGTAGCCTGAATTGGCCATCTCCTATTATCAGGTTGATAACTACCACAATTGTTATCAGAGAGCCTTCACCCAGTGACTGATGGAGACAGATGCAGAGATCCACAGCCAAGCACTGGGCTGAGCTCAGGGGTCCTGCTGGAGAAGGGGGGAGGATGGTACAGAATGGGGATGGGGGTGTCAATGTCATTACACAAGGGAACCCACAGAAATATCTAACCTGGGTTCATGGGAGCTCACAGACTCTGAACCACAGCTAAGGAGCCTGCATGGGACTACCTAGGCCCTCTACATATGTGTGACAGTTGTGTAGCGTGATCTATGTGTGGGACTCCTAGAGGTGGAAGCAGGGCCTGTATCAAGCACTTGGGCTGGCTTTGGGCACCTGCCCAGCCTTAATATGAAGGGAGGAGCTCCATGTTTGGTTGACCCCAATGGGAGGACCTGTCCTTTTCTGAACAGAAACAGGAGTGGATTGGGGCGGGGAGGTAGGGAGGGTGTGAGAGGAGAGGAGGAAGGGGAAACTGTAGTCAGGATATAAAATAAATTTAACAAAAATAAGGTTTAAGAGGGAGGGGGAGAGAGAGAGAGAGAGAGACCACTAGATACTTGGCTGTGACTTCCTGGGCTGAGCAGCTGTGGCCCTGGGGTGCCTGGCGGTCAACCCCTTTATGTATTTTTGCCTCAGATCCGGTGAAATCCACCAGAATTCCCTATGTGGATATCACAAATGGGTTTCGCTTGCCACTAATAAACTAACAAGATCACCCACCAGGAGAGGCTGGTGATCGGCTGTGTGAGCACTTCTACACCACAAGAGGGCAGCAAACTACACCATTTGGGCAGCAGAGCCTACCCTACCTGGAACATTTGCAGTTAATGGGGTTCCTGATCACAATCTTCCTCTCCCCCCCCCCCAGGACACCACAGCTTATTCTAGAGCAGAGCTGTCCACCATCCAGGCCTGCTTCAGGCTACCAGGTCAAGCTGCCCATCCCTACCTTCAGATTCATCTTTCAGCCCCGAAAGATAGGTAAATTGCCATTGGTCAATACCAGGCAAAATGGTGAGAGAATTAGGATCAGGAGAAGACCAGAGCCTAGCCATCTCCACACTTAAACACAGGATCCCACACACATTTTTTTTTTTACTTAGAACACTTAATTTTCCCAAAATAAGACCATTCATATATAATACAAATTTTTAAAAATTATATGTTTGAGTGTGAGTGTGTGTGTGTGTGTGTGTGTGTGTGTGTATGTATTCACATCTGTGTGCCTGCCACCCACAGAAGCCAGAAAAGAGTCAGATCACCTAGAATTATAGTTACAAACAGTTATAAGCTGCCACATGAATACTGGAAATTGTACCCAGATCTTCTTTCTGCAAGAGTAGCCAGTGCTCTTAACCTCTGAACCAGCTCTCCCACCCCATGAAACTCAGCTAATATTCTCTACTTTTCTATGTCATACTGTCATATAATATTCTATCCCCATTCAAATATTCCCATCTTTAA